GTATAGCCAATACATCCTTAAAGGTCGAAGACTCGCCTCTCCGACGCCGCAATAATTGATTTTTTACTACAAGATGCAGCGTCATTATTACAAAAAAATGTCACACTAGTTTCGTGACGTAAATGAAAAGATTTAAACGATAGCTTCCATCAGATAAAAACGCTGTTTAGTAAAAAACGTTAATAGTAAATTCGACGTTACAGTTCGTTGACCAACAGCGTCTAATTTCAGCTGTTCTTCCGCGAAATTGACCGAGCCTCTTCTCTCTTTTGTTTCCCCGCGAACGTACACTTAGCCGCGTCAACCTTGATCTTCGAGTTACTTCCACCGATCTTTGATTACAACGTGCTGAACCCGTCCCGTTCCTCGATACAACAAAAATTCTAATGACGTCCGAACTTCCGCCCTTTCGAAGCGAGTAAAAGAATGTGAGGCAAAGTTTGCTTTGAGATACGCGACGCCGTTTCAAGTGTCGGTGTCGAGTCACGATATCGAGAATTCCTCAATTTCTGTATTTGAACAGCATTAGGGGAGCGCGTTATTATGAATAGATAAGAAACGGTTTAAGTGCGTGTCGCATTTTTTATTGTCCACCTAGGGAGTCACGGGATCAGCGGGGAATCTGTAGAAAAAAAGGATTGAGAAACGCTGGGTCAGAGCACTGGACGGGATTTTATCGTCACACGATCTCGCGGAGCCGTGATCTCGACCGAGAGAAGTGGAAGGTGCATTCTGCTCCCTTGGCAGCGACGCGACTACTCCGCGTTCCCTCATCGTGTCTTCGCAAGAAGCGAAAGCGATGGCTTTGACGAGCTCTGAAACGCGTCCAAAAGATGCGTAAATCTTACGAACGATACAAGGATTTAAACAAAGAGACGAAGTGCCTTGTAACTGAGAGAGGCATTTTAGAAAATCAGGAAGTGTTTCACCTTTCACTGGAATGTTGCACCGATAATTTAGAATTTTACGTAATCAGCTATCTCTGCGTTAATTGCATACCACGTTTTATAATTTCTAATCTTCGTTGCAGAACCATTGAACCCGTTGATCTCTGAGCCGACCAGACGTCGTTAGGAGAGAGGCTGACGGTCTTCGTCGAGGTAAATTACCCTTAAGACGCGTTGAAAAAGCATAAATCGCTATGGCCGTGGAAGGAAGGGTCCGCGGCGGTCGCAGCCGCAAGGACGAGAATAAGAAACCCGCGAAAAGGGGAACAGGAAGCTCTGTGTCGGTCTCGGAACGCAATAAAAAGGAGAGTGAAAGAAAATAAAAGTACGAGAGCAAAAGTTACACGTACACACGTAAGCGTCTAAGTAGGTACGTACGTGTGCGAGCGGGAAAAAGCCGTGGAGGGTTCGCTCGGTTATTTATAGGATTACAATAACGTGACTTGATAGAACGCCAGGGGACACAGCGCTACCTGCGCCGCGTGAATAATTGCGTGTGTATGCGCCACGTAGCGCACACGACCTGATGACTATGCAAGGAACGGAAGATCTGCGATTCGACGTTTCTCCCATTCTGACTCGAGCATCGATTCTTAAAAGTCTGTGCTACGAACGACAGAGGATCGACCAAGATCATAAATTAATATTATTTCTAATGATCAAACCTGAAATGAATACTTGAAATTTCACGATACAAGCGGCACGTGGAGTATAGAAATTATTTGAAGCCTCCTACCTTTTTGCTAGATTTGAAGACGTTGCACTTGAAAGTGTTGCTACTGCCATCGCGAGCGATGTAGCTGAAGATCTTCAAGTCGTGGCTGTCGTGGGAGACGTAGAATATCCTGCAACATCGAAAAGTTTCCCCTAAACCTTCACGCAATCTCTTTAGAATTAAAGAATTAGAATTAGAATTAATTCACGAGATTATTTTGAATTAGATGATTTTTAATTAGAATTAATTCACGAGAAACGAGACACGTTAGAGTCGACAACGTGCAACAATTAAACACTAATACGCGAAGAATGTGAAGGATAGCGGTTCGAGGTTTAACATCGTTAATTCATCGATCGTTGCGATGCCGTAGCGCGTTTGTCACAATCCCAATTCCCTTTATGATCAACGCGCGCGCGCGCTCGCGTTCAGCATCCACTGAAAAAGGAATGCTTGAACGTGAACGCGAACGAAACCGTCTCAGAATTAAAATTTTATACGACGACGACGACGACGACGACGACGACGACGACGAGCCATTTGTGGAACGATCGCACGGAACTAAATGATGATTGTTGCAATTAGAGAATCTTCAACTAGAAGCGAAACTCGTTCCTCCCGAGGGAGGATCCTCCTTCCAGTGCGAGTCGGCTTACCTGTATATCGGATGGTGCATCAGGTATATCTTATTCTCGTCCATCCACTGTTGCTGCTTCTTCTGCGAAAACACAGGACAAGTAACGACTCATTAATCCCGCGATCCGTAGGACGATCTCGGGCCAGGGAACGACGGCTAAGTACGTGGCTAATGTAACGTGACGCCCGGGGAAGAAACGGGTCGAAAGTAATTCACCGCAAAGAATCGTCATCTCGATTTCCTATTCTCAATTTCGTTTCTATCATTTCTCTTACGTAGAACACGCAAGCTTCTATTTTCGAGACCGTCGCTGCTTTCGTCGAGTGATAATGAGGAATACGTACATATGTACGTATGTATCTACTATGTACGGTGTAACGGAGCCAAAAAGCTCGACGCGATAAATCAAGCCAGACTGGTCCGAGTAATTGATTCGTTAACATTGAAATACTGCGCTACGATCGCCATCCTTTTAACAGCGACATTTAATAAATACGAGGAATTCCGAGATATGAGAATATTTTCGTTTATTCGTCGGTGAAGGTAAACTGAAATTTCTGTTCTCGAAACAATTGATCACGCGTTCAGAGCTGTTAGAATCGATGTCCGTTCTCCGGGGCTGGTACAATTAAAACAGAAACAGATTCGAAGGTACTCGTGACAAATTGAGCGTGGAACGTGACGCAGGGACGGAGGGGAGGAAAAGCGGCCGAGTAAGAGGAGTAAACGTCGGTGATAATTATCGCGAACACGCGAGGGGGCAAACGAGCACCAGTGCACAGCTTGCGTCGCGTACCTTCTTTTTCCGAAGAGTGACTTTGAGCCCGTCCACTGATACCTCCAGCGTCACTTTCTTCTTTTTGATCCCTTTGGCCTTGAACTCGTACTGGGGACAGAACAAGACTGAAATGAACGACCGCTGCGCCGGGAGCAATCCTGTATACACGGTTAATTATGCTTCTTCACGACCGAACGACGACGATTCTGTTCGTTGCGATTGCAGATGTTTAAAAATTAGTTCCTCGCTGGAGAAACGCAAATGTCATTGATTTCTGATAAAGCGAGACGCCGTCCGACGGACTTTGCTATATACAGTTAATTAGAGATTATGCGAACTCACGCGGATTCTTCGCATCGCCGCCACGATCTCCACTCGGCTGGTCGGTCGAGGAACCTCCATAGAACCGATGAACTGCGAACAAAGGCCTGAGATGAAAAGTCAAACATAAATCAATGATATTCTATCCGATGTGAGAATTCTTTGAAATTCAATGGGAATAGAGCTTCTCATTTACTTCCCGTCGGTCTAATACGATTTTATACAATGTATAATGCATGTATTCCGTGAAACTCAATTCACAGTTTCATTTATATTTATGTTTTCTTATTTATCCTGGGTTTCTCTTTGACGCAGTTTTAGGCTCACGCCTCTGGTTTTTTAATAACAGCTAAAAGTCATCGGGTGTTCTGTCGTTCGTCTATGACGGTCTGCAATTTGCTTCGATAAATCACCGAGGCATTGCGGGCTATCTCTGCTTTTGATCTCTAGCCGCCAACCTCTGACTGGTCAGCCAAACAGTTCGGAAACAGTGGCGAGAGTCAGATGTTCACGATCGATCACGTAGCCCGTGTTTCAATCACGATTCCGATTAAAATAGAACCGCCAGCCCGCAACAGATTTAATCGAAATCGTGATATATCAGTGAATACGGGGATATCGCGGGATGTCGGCCAGCCTCCGTGGTAGAATTCTCTCATCGAAACGATGACCCGAGGGTCACGTGTTTAGCCGGGTCGACCGACCGCCCGCACACGTGGTCACCCTCCCACGCAGTAGGTGCGAGAGACGATCGCGTTTCTCGAATTATTCGCGATATCGATCGCGGCTACGATGCGGCCGACGTATGTAGGTGCCCTGGACGGTGTTCTAAATATTTCAATAGCCGAGAAGAAGCACCTTGCGTACGTGTCACAGCGGTCTTTCCATTCTCTGCACGAAGAAAGTATAGCACGAAACACAAATAAGCAACAAGCAGTTGAGGATTGAGAATTGAAAATTGAAAACTGAGAAACGACTATGAATTCCAGCCTAAATCGCCGAGTTATGGAATTTTGAGAATATTAAGAATTTTGTAAATTTGCATTTTCAACCCCTCAGTGGGAGATCTGAGCAAAACCGTGAAACTGATTCATAAATATTCGTATGGATTGCATTTATAAACGAGAACTAAAGTTGAAAAATACGTAAAAATGCTTCATCTCGATAGGGCGTGAATTTAAAAAAATTCCCAGATTGAATTTGCATTTTCAACCCTTTAATGGAAGATCAGAGCAAAACCGTGAAACTGATTCATTGTATGGATTACATTTGTAGACGAGAACCAATGTTGAAAAAAACGTAGAAATGTTTAATAGGGTGGAAATTTGAAAAATTCACAGATTGATTTTTAATAAATTGATGAAGAAACGATTGGAAAGAGAGATCGTGTAAATATTTAATTTGTTAAAATCGTGTTATCACTATTTCAATAATTGTCTAAAGCTAATTGGAACTTGTTTACACGGTGAAGACGAAATCCGGTTTGTACAGAGACTCGTGTGTGTACGTAGAATCGAAGCGTGACCAAGACATACGCGAAAGAAAAGCAAAACTCCTGCCAAGAGGATCATCCGCGGCTAAAATTATTGTGACTTTACTAGGGCGAAAAATTTCCCTCGAAAGCAAGAAGTAGAGCGCGCCGGGATGTATTTTGATACTCTCGATTTTAGACCGTCGTACAGTTTCCCAGTTCTACGTCCTCGACGTTCCACGTTCATCGACGCCCAATAAATCGCCAATCGCAGTTGTCGTTTCTCCGTCGTTTTTAATCGGTTCAAAAATAGATCCAAACGTCTGGGAGGAATGCAGTTTTTTCGATCTGACTGGAGAACGCGAATAGAGCCACGCGACTTACTTATGCCGTCTTCCATTCCCGTCGCAAAGTGACCGCTTTTACGAGCTTGCGGTCGCGAAAGCTTTACCCTTTCCAAGAAACGATCGCACACACGGCTGAAATAAACACGTGCACAATGACGTCACCGTTCTCTCTTTCTCTCCCTCGGCTCCTATCGTCGGCCAAAAATATCCAATCCCTGTCGCGTTATTGTCGCGATTCGTTGCATTCGCCGTCCAGCCATCGATGTAACTATCCACCCTTCTGCATCGTAGTTAGGCTCGATTCATCAACGTCGAGCAAAGAACGAGTGAATGAATATTGATTTTTAAAGAGGATTGCGTGATTCGTAGTAGATGCGGATAAAAAAAAGTATATCCTATAATTTAATCATCGTTGAAACTGACTTAAAAATAAATTCACGTCGGATCACTATAAACATTTTACGCTCCTGGATATATTAAAGAAATTATTTGGAAGATTTTTCGATTATTTGAAAATCGGGTAAATTTTCAATAAACAAATCGGCAACGAGACGGAATGATACACTTTTTAGATTCTCGGAAACACTCGCGGTTTTACGCGGCGGCGAACGGCACGAATCGTGCAGTAAATTGCAGCTCGTCAAGTATTTCGGGAAAACAGGATCCTCGTAAATGACTTTGTGGTGCAATTGGAAAGCGCCGAAGAATACAATTCGTAACGCCCAATCGTTAACGAAGAACGGTAAAAAATGTTCTCTTGAAACATGGACGATCAGAGTTTTTTCTATTATTTAATGTTGGTGAATTGTTCCTGTCGTTCGAAGCGAACTTTTCGAGACGAGACTTTTACAGCCGTAACAACCGTTAGACGGAACGCAGCTTCCTCGAAAAATTACGTTTCATCGATAAAGGCGAAGTTGGTCGCTATCTGCGAATCGCCTTTTTCCCGGAAGTCTCTTAAAACGGAGATATTACCAGACCGTGACTGGACCACTCTTTGTTCTCATCTGAGATCGCCAAGTTTTCTGATGTGAATAATAGATCCGTACACGTTCCCCTCATTGTTTTCCCTATCCACGAGTTTTCATTATCTATCAATATTAATCAAAGAACTCCAATCTTTGATACAGTGAATTAAACAAGAAGGCTAAGTACAATTCATGTGAAATCCTATGAGAAAGATTTGTAGATTGACTCATAAACCTCATTGACCTTACGCCACAAGTTTAATACTAAATCTACCAAGGAGGATAAAAATGACTTGTTTGGCAATTTTTACAATCATTCTTCATTTTCAGTACATTTTGTTTTCTAAAATATGTAAATAACTAATTCTGTAAAACAGTTTTCCTTTTTTTTTTTGTCTTTTTGATGTAAAATTTTATGCAGTATTCCTCCATGAGATGAGTC